GGCTACAAATGTTATTAGCAGTCATAAAATTATCCGGCCTTTAGAAAAACACCATAGTTTTAAAAAGCCACAGCGTTTGACTTAATGACCTCCGAAGACTGAATTCCAAGGGTTGATTGTAAATGTGTAAAATGGCATGTCCTTCTATTTGTTTTAAATTTGCTGCCCTTTAATCTCATTGACTTTCCCCTTGTTCTTATGATGAAGCAGGGAGTAAGCAGTTTTCATTATGCTCTACTGTAACTTTCACTATGCCAATCGAGACCCTTATAACTTTCTGCCTTTCAAAGATAAAGGTGAGTGCTTTATATTAGTACACATATTTATTTTTGAAAGGAACTCATAAGATGTGCACCAGTCATCACCTTGTCCTCTTTGCTCTATGTTGTACCTCTTTCCCTGTTCCTTCATCTGTGCCTTTCATTTTAAGATTAAAAGCTCTTAGGGACTGGGGACGTGTCTTCATATGTGTTTACAGACTTCCTAGAAGATTTTGAGTGCTTCTGTAATATTTTTAATAAGAGCAATAATAATCATTTGAATTGGTATAATGGCTACAATTGAACTGCACTTCATTGGTTACTCTCAAAATTCTGTAATTCATGTGACACTCTGAAATGCTGGGCTGAAATACAATTGCCAGAAAAAAAAGTATTCTAATAAAACGTTTGTAGACATGATGTTACTTAAGCCAGCCGATAAACTTCTCCATCACCACTATGTGTTTCTCAGAAATGTTGCTTTGGGGAGTAATACTTCTAGGAATTACATCAAATTGTGGCTATGTAACAAAATGCATTCAGCTGTTGGTGTTCCTACCTACTCATATACCTATGTTTCTGAGATTGTTTGCACTCAGAAATACATAATCTTTCTTAACAACTATACATGACAGTTGTGCATGTATTGACAATTATGGGCAGAATGATTCTTCCTCCAAAGAAGACATTATCCAGCTGTTCTTTTGTCTCAAGTACAGAGCACTCACACTGGGAGCTTGAAGATCCAGGTTCTAACCTCTGACCCTCCTATATGACTTTGAAAATGGCCTTTTTGAATATAACTTATTACACGAAAGTAATAGCTATTTTTTTAAATAAAGTCAGATATAACTCGACCCTCTAGAGCTCTAGATTTCTTTGGCGAAACCTTAAGCTAAATTACCCAACCTTTTATTCTGGCATTTGATTTGGGAAGATAATATATATTTAATGTGTACTGTATTTTTAAAATGCAATCAATGGGCAAAAATTCAGCACCTGTGAAAATCAAGCCATTTTTATGTAGGTGTTTAATATGAATGTAAGAGCCTATATTTAGGCACCTGGGTTTGACAGATTTGGCCAATGTTCCTATCTGTGTGTCTCTAGCCAAATGGATAATATTTTGAAGCACATCTTTTATTTTCAGGCAAGCAATTCAGGGAGAGAGGAACCATCTGTTTAGAAGTACCCATGTTACTGAACTGTCTTTGTGTTCCTCATGTGTCTTTGTTTTCCTCCCATATTAAGAATGATTTGAGTGCATGTAACACTTGTTCATTTTCATTATCTGCTGAAGTCTGAAGCATGATGGAATACATCTATTTAAACAACATCTAAGAGAAACTGTGGCCTCCAGATAGAAAAGTTTTTCACTAGTGTCTTATCTTAGTATTAATAACAACATATTTTGCATTATAATTGTAAGCCAATTATTAATTTGCTGAAGTATTCTTGATTGTTTTACATCTATCTATCTGTTTTTTTTTTCTACAGGCAAGGGAAACATAGGCTGAAACCCAGAAAAATGAGCAGAGGAGTCAGTCTTCTCAGTGAAACTGTGAGTTAACACAGCAAAGCTGGGGCTAGATTAACCAGCCAGGCAGATGAAGTTCTGAGAAGTCAGAGAATCAACCCATTCCTGGCTTCTGCTGTGTATATGAGGAAATGGCTAATAATGGGTACAGTCTGCTATTTGACTCCAATGCTGATACTGGGCCATGTGGATTCACAGTGCATTCATCATTCAGGGCCCTAACACTGATAGGAGATTGCTTTACTAATATCTCCATTATCCATTTACATT